AAATCTTAAAAAAAAAAAAAAATTAAAATGAAGCCAAGACACAAATTTGCCTTGAGTTTCCTGGGAGCCGAAGGAAAACACCAGTTATAAGACTAAAATCATGCCAGGGGATGTGTAGTTTTTCTGGGGATTAAGGCCTAAGGAGAACATTCCCCATGGGACCTCAAAAATGGAACATTAAGTAACAGCAGTCACTGTCCTCGGGGCTACCCTCACAGCAAATGGAACACGAATACATGTGGCTGTGCCAGTGGGCCTGTGCAGGGCAAGCAAAGTCATGGGCTGGAAGGTCACACAGGGACAACAGGCCCATAAAACATACAACCTATTTGTTCTCAAATCTTTCTCCTATCTATCTATCTATCTATCTATCTATCTATCTATCTATCTATCATCTATCTTTAACTTTTTTTTTTATTATTATTTAAGTAATCTCTACACCCCAGGTGGGATTTGAACTCACAGCCCCAAGATCAAGAGTCGTATGCTCTTCTGAGTGAGCCAGCCAGGTGCCCCGTTCTTTTTTTTTTTTTGAAGTACAGGCAAAGGAGGGAAAAAAAAGTATGACCTTATCACTCAGTGAACATCGGTGATATCTACTATGGTTCCATCACCAGATTTTCCTGTATGTGCTTACGTAGCATCATACTGTAGAGTTTCATATACTGATATCTTTCATTTAACGCCACAGCATAGCACAATACACTCTTTGTAAACATTGATTTTAATGGCTAAATAGTCCATGATACATATACCCCAAATGACCGTGCTAGTCTTCTATTATTCATCATTAAGCTAATAGCACTGATAATAAAAACTACCATTTTTTGAGAACTTCTGACTTACTAGGCACTGCGCTAAGGACTTTTTATACACTTAAATAAGATCCTTATCTTATTTAATGTTACAATAACACCTCCAGGTAGAGACTGCTTTTATCCTTACTTTACAGCAGAAACTAGAGCCCAGAGAGCTATTTAGCCACCAAGAGGCACTACCTCCCTTCCAGTTTCTTGCTGTCCCAAATAACAATGTGGGGAATATCTTCTTACACTGTCCTGGAGGGAATGTGACGCTGTGAGTGCCCGCCGCTCCTCCACCCCTCTGCCAAAGACGGCAGGGGACCAGGCACCTGGGCCCAGAGCCCCTACCGACTGGTTAAAGGCAGCTGTCCACTTGCTGACTGCAGTCCATGCTGGAGCCAGGCGCTGGAACTCCAGCAAATACCAGTGTCATCTTGGGCGGCGGCTGGCCCAAACAGACCATCACTCTTAGAAAGTCTGAACGCAAGACACAGAGGAATGAGACCGACGGAGCTGATGCAGAGACATCGCCGCCGGAGAGAAGACAGCAGGGAGAAATCGTGAAGAGAGGAGGGAGTGAAGGAAGGTGGCTGGGCAGAGGGAGAGAGGAGCGAGGGAAAGAGAGACAAAGGGACAGAGGGAGGAGGAGAAAAGAGAGAGAGACGGGGTAGAAAGTGGTTTGAGGCAGCAGTGGGAAGTACAGGTAGACAAGGCTAAGAACCTGGGTCCCGGCAGGGGACGACGATTGGAACTGCTTTGGGGACACCATGAAGGGCGATGAGACCAGCTATAGGGCTGCGGGTACCATTTCCTGGGCTTCCTCCCCTCCCCACACCTCTCTGCACTCATCCCCACCTCTTGAGTGGTCTCACATATTCTAGGCCTTGGAATACCGCCCCCACCCTCCGCCCTGCTTCCCAAGGAACCCAGCGTGCTCCAATGCACTGCTCTCCAAGTGGTTGTTCTCCCCAAGGGGCACCAAGGGACGTGTGAGGAAAATACTCTAACTAATGTCTAACTAAGAAAAACAAGAAATTAAGATTACTAATATATAACGTAGCAGTTGACAACAGAGCATGTATGTATATCATTTACAAAAAAACATAGATCGTGATGGTGCACGCTCAAAATTTTTTGCCAATAAGACACATGATCAAAGCAGTCTGGGGGCACCTGAGTGGCTCAGTCGGTTAAGAGTCTGACTTCGGCGCAGGTCATGATCTCACGGTTTGTGAGTTCAAGCCCCACGTTGGACTCTATGCTGACAGCTCAGAGCCTGAAGCCTGCTTCGGATTCTGTGTCTCCCTCTCTCTCTGCCCTCCCTTGCTTGTGCTCTGTCTGTCTCTCTCTTGCAAAAATAAACATTAAAAAGAATTTTTTATTTATTTTATTTATTTTTTAATTTTTTTTTAACGTTTATTCATTTTAGAGACAGAGAGAGAGACAGAGCATGAACAGGGGAAGGTCAGAGAGAGAGGAAGACACAGAATCTGAAACAGGCTCCAGGCTCTGAGCTGTCAGCACAGAGCCCGACATGGGGCTCGAACTCATGGACCGCGAGATCATGACCTGAGCCAAAGTCGGTCGCCCAACCGACTGAGCCACCCAGGCGCCCCTAAACATTAAAAATAATTTTAATAAAAAATTAAAAATGAAAAAAAAACACAGTCTGGAAATGAGTGCTCAGGGAGGAAGAATCTAGGTTTTGGAGGGAACATGGGCTTGGGTTCTAATCTCGGCTCAGTTACTTGCAAACTGTCTGGCCGTGGAAACTGACTTACTTAGTGAACCTGACTCAGTCCCTTGGGGTATAGAATGGGGACGGCTATGTCTGTCTGCCACATGGTTGCTGTAAAGCTGGGGTACAGCTGGGCCCACAGCAGGGGGATCACACAGTTGGTAACATTGGTGAGCTGCCCACTCTCTTTCCTTACCTTGCCACTAAGGCGGTTTCTCTCAGCCCGGACCACATTGCCCACCATGTCACAGAAGTTCACCCCATTTGGAAGCCTGTTCGGCACAGCGCTGTTAAATTTATGTGGGTGCTGGTACAGCTCCACCAGCAGATTTTTATCTGCTGTTTTCTGAAACAAAAAGCAGATATGAAAATGAGGTCCATCATTTGACAGCTTAAACTGAAACTAAAAACTAGGATATCTTCCCCTTTTTGTCACGAAGATGGTGTAACAAGCTTACAGAAACTGGACAAAATGGGGGCACGTTCAGGACCCCAGCACCTCTTACCAAATGATTTACATTATTTCTGTTTTCCCTTTCAGGCTCTGAGCATGTTTACAAATGTGCAGACATAACTCGACTCATGTGACAATACATAAATACACACACACACACACACACACACACACACACACACACACACACACACACGGTGTCCTGCTTTCTCCACCTTAGATTTTCCACATTGCTACACTGTCTTCAAATGTATCACTTCAGAGAATAGATCCTGTTATGAAGATGGGCTATCATTTAATTGACTACTCACGGATTACTTCCAATTAATATTACTGTCATTAATAATTTGGAGCATACAGTTTCCCCCTTGGGTTTATTCATTATGAATTTCTGGGGAAAAAAGGCAATATAACAACTATAAAAAATGTGAAGATACAGAAAAGTGGAAAGAGAAAACCAACTGCCATCACCCGAGGCACCTGCTGGAAACATTTTGGGGGACTGAGTTACTTTTCTTTTTTTTTTTTAAGTGTGTTTATTTCTTTGTTTTGAGATAGAGACAGAGAGAGTGAACTACTTTAAGATCCTCTAAAAAGGGCACTCTGCAGTTTTCCTGCACCATCACCATCCAGGTGCCAAGCGTCCCCTCCCCAGGACTAAAATCTCTTTCATGCCCAGCAGAAACCAGTCAGAGAGAGACCCAGCAGCAGATCCCTTACCCTTTTATTGATGAAAGATTTGACATTCCTAGATTCCGAGCCTCTGCAAATATGCTGCGATTTTCTGTGACTCTTGTCTGCAGAAGAATGGAAGAAGAGAAAGGATGTAACCACGAGGTCTGTCCATCGCTGCGCAGTAACCATAGCTGTGATGTTTCACTCACTCAGCCTGAGCTGCCAGAGGACAGTCACACTGTTAGTCTCACTGGTCCCCGCCTGAGTTGCTGGCTCCCTGGATCCAGGACCCACCGCAGACAAGCTGTCCCCTTGCCCCCAAGCCTGTTCCCTCGTCTGTAAACTCTGTTCAGCGGCACCTAGCCCACAGTTGGGGGCATTGCAAAGATTTAATAGGAGAAGTGCCACCTGGTAGGCCATCTCTAAGTGCGCTGTCCTTCCCTCCTAACTTGCCCAATGCCAGCAGGTCACACATGAGACTCCTCCAGAAGAGGACAAAGCTATCCTCGGTTGAAATGCTGGATTCCTGCTTAACTGCATTTGAGATACTAACAATAGCCAAACCCCACAGAAACACCATCAAGGCTATAAGAAAGGATTTTTGCCTCTGTCTCCCGGGTCGCCGTGACTTTTCTCTCTCAAAGCCTTCTTCTCCAACTCAAATCTCTCAATTGCCTTCAAAAACCAGAAAGAAATGGGGCATTAGGGATTCGTGCAGATCTCGGTGCGGGATGAGGGTCAGAGATCAGGCCATTTCCCCCGCTGGGGCGCAAAAGGCCTGGAGCAGAGGTTGTGGCAGCGCCTCCCTGTCCTCCCGGTGGGTGCCAGGGTCTCCGTGGCCACTGGTGTCACTGACCTCATCCCCACCCCACCTCCGCCCCCACCGAGTGTCACCACCGATACATCCCCCCACCTTGCCTTCTCCCACGCTGCCTCTCCTCCTGGCTATGCCTCCTCTTGTCTATACCTCTGAGGAGGTACAGGATGTGGGAATGGGGCTCCAATCAAACTCCCTGGGCTAAAAGCTATTGTTTAAACTCTCTGTGAGGGGGACAATGATACCTACCTTCTAGGGTCCTTGTAAGGATTGGATATACAGTATTGAGTGCATCTTAAATTTTTTTTAATGTTTATTTATTTTTGAGAGAGAGAGAGAGAGAGAGAGAGAGCGCACGCGCATGTGAGCAGGGGAAGGGCAGAGAAAGGGGAAGACACAGAATCAGACTCCAGGCTCTGAGCTGTCAGCACGGAGCCCGATGTGGGGCTCGAACTCATAAACAGCGAGATCATGACCTGAGCCGAAGTCAGACGCTTAACCGATTGAGCCACCCAGGCGCCCCTAGTGCATCTTAAAACACTAGTGCAGAGGCTACTACCAGATAGGAGCTGCTCAATAAAGGCTTATTATTATTATTATTATTATTATTATTATTATTATTAATCACCAGACCCTTGACTTCTCAACAGATTTCTCTTGATCTCTGATTCCTCCTCCCCCATTCCCGCATCCCCTCCTGAGGGAACAAAAGGAAAGAAAAATGAATGTCAGTGACCCAACAAGTTGTACTGATCGTCGGCCATGAGCCCGGCACTGCTCTCGGACAATAAAGTCAACGAAGAATGAGGATTCTGTGTCCTCGCCTTTAGGAATTTACCATCTGTTTGGACAGTTGACATCAGCACACGTGGGCCAAGTAGGTCCTAAATTGCTACATTTGGGTTTGAAGCAATTGAGAGTAGTGTGAACTAGAAGAGTCACAGAGGACCACCCACGAGCACTGGGGGAAACGATGAGGCATCTGTCGTGCTTGATAAACTGTGAAACGCCCCCTCCAGTCTTCTACCCCCTTTATGAGCATGTGCGCAGGTGTATGTAGATGGGGAAAGGGCTCACACTGGTAGGTCTACATGTCAACGCTTGTCACTCCAAAAACATAGGCCAAGATAAGGCATGATGAATGAACGGGAGGGGTATGAGCCAAGGCAGTGGAACAGCGGTGTCTCTGGTCCTTACCGGGATGCCACTTGTAGCCCATATTGTCAAGGCCTTGGAAGGATGGACAAGATTTGCACACGGAGAGAGCAGAACGGATAGGTGAACGCTGGGAGACCAGCAAGTTTTAGGCGTCAACGAGGAGACCAGCACTGGGCCGTGTGCATCTGAGATGACAGTGGTACCTACAAGTGGGGCTGTCCCCCTACTTGGGGACTTTTTCAGATACACCAATTCAATGGAGAAGTTCAGTCCTTGCGTCTGCCTCAGCTCATGAATTGTTTACGTACTGTGGCTCCTGAATAGTTCTCTACTTAAAATTTGAAACCAGTAAATAATTTACAAGGTACAAAATCAAGTAGTAGAGTAAAAAGTCTCCCTTCTGCCTCCCTCCACCCAATACCCTTAGTTTCTTGCATAGCCTTCCGGAGACATCGTGTTCAAATGAGAGCACGCAGAACACACGGTGCCACGTGATGCTCTTTTCACTTTTAGTTTTTTTAAAAACCTCCCAGGGGAGTCTGATGATCACTTAGGTTTAGGTGCCACTACTCTAGGTGGCTGGGAATATGAGGCTGAGATACAGGAGAGAAGCTAGGATTTGCAACCATATCATTCATTCCACAAGTATTTCCTGAGAACCTGCTCAAGGCCAATGCTATGCCCATGTCGGGGATGCAGCAGAGAGCAGCGAACGCTGCTGAGGCTTCAGGGATTAGTGGGGAGAAGCCAGGGGTTTTGAGGTGGCCAGTGCTGCGGTGGGGAGGTACAGGATGCTAGCAATGTGCCCAGAAGGGCCCCTCCACTAGTCTTGGGGTACGGGATGCAGAGAAGTCCCTTCTAGGGTGAGGATGTCCAGGCGGAGAGCAGAAGGAATGTGCCTGCCACTGGGTGAATGGTGAAGCTGTGCTATGAGTGGAGCTCTTGAGGGGAAGGGGGCCGGAAGGAAGAGCCAAGCAAAGTACCAGTGCAAGTACCCAGGTGACTGGGCTTCAGTTTAGCATCTGACTGTTGATTTCGGCTCAAGTCATGATCTCACAGTTAGAGTGAGCCCATCACTCGCAGGTCTTCAGTGCAGAGCCAGCTTGGGATTCCCTCTTTCTCTCTCTCTCTGCCCCTCTCCCGTGCTCTGTCTCTCTCATGTGCTCTCTCCTTCTCTCTCTCACTCTCAAAATAAATAAATAAATAAATAAATAAATAAATAAATAAATAAAGCTGAAGAAGAGCTAAGCAAGGTTCATGGCCAGAGAGGTGGGAAGCCCACACTTAGGGCATGGAAGAAGGAACAGAAAAGGGACCTGGTGATGTTGGATGTGGGGAGGAGGATCTGGGGCTCATTCGTTCACTAGTGCACACTTAAGAAGCACCTCTTACGCACTAGGCACAGGGCTAGGTGCCAGGCAGCACGGCAGCATGGAGGCTGGAGAAACCCGTTTGGCTATGGCCCTGACACAGAAGTGGCTGCACAGTCAAGGCCCGGTGGACAAAGGGCAGGGCAAACCGCAGCCAGCAGAGCTTGGGCAGGGTAGCCTAGGGATGGGCTCTTGTGGCAGAAGGCAGTGAGCATCTGACAGATTTGACCAGCTGCTTGGGCAGAGGACAGGAAGGACAGGCAAGGGGTCCCTTCCTCCAGGTCATATGAGGACCCAAGGTTGCTCCCACCAGCCCTATCTTGGTTCTCACTGGCCACGAAGGGCACCTGAGGAGATATGCCAATGCTAGGCAATCTTTTTTTCTTTTTAACGTTTACTTACTTATTTTGAGAGGCAGGAGAGCGAGAGAGAGACAGACAGAGAGAGAGAAAGAGAGAGAGAGAGAGAGAGAGAGAGAGAGAATATGGGCAGGGGAGGGACAGGGAGAGAGAGGGAGAGAAAGAATCCCAAGCAGGTTCTGCACTGTGAGCACAGAGCCCGACAGGGGACTCTAGTCCACGAATCGTGAAATCATGACCTGAGCCAAAATCAAGAGTCGGACACTTAACTGACCAAGCCACCGAGGCGCCCCATTGCTCGACAAACTTAAGTAGCCACCAGATCCTGTTTCTGGGAGCAAAATATTCTTTCTCTTGGTTTTAAAATTATCATAAAAAATCACAGAACTGACATGCAAATACATTCCTTTTGTAAACAACATTACAGAAGTATCCAGAGTAAAAAACATGTTTACTCGCCTTCCATACCACCCCCTGTCCAGAAATGACCCCATTGACTGTTTGGTGTGTATCCTTCCAGACTTTTCTCCTACACGTTCATACATATAGAGTGTCCTTCCTGTGAGCCAGGCACTCTTCTCGGGCCTGATTTATGGGGCTTCATGAGTTTTAACTCCTCTAATTCTTACAACAACCCTATGAGGTAGATACATTATTTTTGTTATCACCATTCTCTAGAAAACAGAGATTCATAAAGGTTAAACAATTAACCCAGTTTCACAATGTGAGAAAATGGCGGAGCAGGAATTTAAACACAGACCGTCTTATTCCGGAGTCTGTGTCTCTAATGCTATACCTCTCCTGCCTACACAGGCACACACAGAGAGACGAGGTTTCTTAACTTATATGGAATCACTCCAAGTTGTGTGTGTGTGTGTGTGTGTGTGCATGTGTGTGTATATGTTGCCTTTATTCACAATTTAATTCTAAGCTCTACTCGATGGTGGGGTAGGTAGGGGCAAGTGAAGCTAATGGTCTCGTTGCTGTGTGAGTGAAAACATGGCGGAACCTCTGGGAAAGGCAATTCGACTGTATTTACCAAAATTCGAAATTTCACTTCTAGGACTCTAGCGTGCAGAAATACTTGCAAATGAGCCCCAAGATACAAATACAGAAATATTCACGTGTTCACTATGATGAAAACACCACTGAAATATTTATCGGTAGGGAATAAATTAATGATGCCGCATCCAACAAATAGAATATTATGTGGTCATGAAAAGACCAGGGCAGATCCACAGTCGTGACTTGGAAGCATCTCCAAGAGTTATTGAAGCTAAAAATAAATAAATGAATGAATGAATAAAAAACAAACAAAAGCAGGTTACAAAAACAGTATTTATGGTATGACCCTACTCACATTAAAAAAAGAAAACGGGGGGCGCCTGGGTGGCTCAGTCGGTTGAGCGTCCGACTTCGCTCAGGTCACGATCTCACGGTCCGTGAGTTCGAGCCCCACATCAGGCTCTGTGCTGACGGCTCAGAGCCTGGAGCCTGCTTCAGATTCTGTGTCTCCCTCTCTCTCTGGCCCTCCCCCCGTTCATGCTCTGTCTCTCTCTGTCTCAAAAATAAATAAATGTTAAAAAAAAAAAAATAAATAAAAAAAAATAAAATAAAATAAAAAAAGAAAACGATAACCCTAAATATATGTGTTCTATGTTTCTAAATGTATGGAAAAAGTTCTTGGGCACCTGGCTGGCTCAGTTGATGGAGCACGCAACTCTTGATCTCAGGGTCATGAGTTCAAGCCCCATGTAGACATTATTTAAAAAATAAAAATTTTTAATTTAATTTAAATTTTTTTAAATTTACATCCAAACTAGTTAGCATCTAGTACAACAATGATTTCAGGAGTAGATTCCTTAGTGCCCCTTCCCCAGTTAGCCCATCCGCCCTCCCACAACCCCTCCTGTAACCCTCTGTTTGTTCTCCATATTTATGAGTCTCTCATGTTTTGCCCACCTCCCTTTTTTTATATTATTTTTGTTTCCCTTTCCTTACGTTCACCTGTTTTGTCTCTTGAAGTCCTCATAGGAGTGAAGTCATATGATATTTGTCTTTCTCTGACTGACTAATTTCACTTAGCATAATACCTTCCAGTTCCATCCACAAAGAAAAATAAAATATTTTTTTAAAAACTCTGGAAGGATACAAAACAAACAATTAACAGTGGTTACTTCTCAGGAGGAAATAAAGGGCTGGGAGTGAAGCAAATTTTACGGTTTACTTTTATACTTGGAGATGGTTTGAATATTTTAGAATAAGGATGCATTGTCCTGGCATTTAAACTTTTTTTTAATTCTAATTTTAATTTATTGGGGGGGGGTGGTGCAGAGAGATGGAGAGAAAATCCCAAGCAGGCTCTGTATCGTCAGTGCAGAGCCAAACGTGGGGCTCGATCTCACAACTGACTGTGAGATCATGACCTGAGCTGAAATCAGGAGTCAGATGCTTAACCCACTGAGCCACCCAGGCACTGCTAAATTTTAAAAAATAAATCAAAAAGACTAACTCAAGAGATGAACTGACCCCAAAGGTCAGCACCAGAAAAGTTGGGATAGGGGTGCG